TAGTCTAATGTAATTGTCCTTTCTCTACATAGCTGTTTAGTATATGGACATGAGAGAAATATGAAACAGAGGCTGAAGGCTAAACCTTCTTCCCTCTGTTCTCTCATACAGCCGCAAAGTATTGGCTCTTTTATCATTCTCTTTTCTTTTATTTTTTTTACTTCTTTCTCTAATCTTTGAATCAGTTCATGATTTTACATTTTCTAACGACGATGTCGGAGGAATTTACGTATCTATACCAGAGAGATCGCACCTCAGGGTTACTTATCTCTAGCCACGGCTTTGCTGGACCGCTGAAATGTAAAACCGCCGCAGATTTCAAAATATCTTCAGGGGCTTTAACCGATCGAGATCCTAGTCCAGCTACGTGCCATGATGGATCAAGAGTCTGTGTGAGTCCCTTGAAAGCAAGAAGTGTTGGTGGTAACGCTCCTGGTTGCCATAATTGTAGTCCTGAGCTAACACTCTGCATTAATGTTTAGTTTCAGTGAGGATAATGTAACTAAGAAATGAAGTTGATATATGTAAATACTTATACTCACGAGTCTTAACCATGAAGAGTAAGCTTCTGTGATGTTGGTTTGTCTCCAGGCTTTGAGATCAAAGACATTCATACCAGAAAGCCAAGCGCAGTCTTCTTGACGCAAGTTTGATGAGATCAGAGGATGTGAGAAGTTGAAATAGTCTTTGTATTTTCTTCCAGGACAACAGTTGCTTCCGCACCACGAATCAACAACAGAGCCAACTACTTTGCCGTTGAGGTCCGTTTCCCATAAAGATGAAAGGTCTCGTTGTACTACTACATCATCATCCAACAACACTATCTTGTTGAGGTCTGGAAAAAGCTGTGCGGTCCAAAAAGATATGATTAAAGAAATTTGTCTTTTTTAAGCTCAGAGAAGAGTTGAGTTGAGAGGAAACTTATTACCTTGGGAATGTAGATGCGAAGATGATTCAAGAGAGCGAGGCAGCTAGGGTTTAGAGCTTGCAAGGATTGCTCATGAGTACCCTCAACGAAACTATAATCAGAGTCTTTCAAATCCTGATAATGCCTTCTCCAAATCATGCGGTGAATCTCAAGCATCTCTTTAACTCTGAGATTCACTTCTTGAGGCCAATCATACTGATGAAGTCCCTTTACTTCAACAACCGGTGACGAAGCAGAGTTTATAGCAAACCAAGCGTGCATAGGGGTATAAGTTTTCTTATCGGTAACAATATGAAAGACGAACTTCTCAGGATCCACAGCGTTTTGCACAGTTGAAGATATGACGACCGAGGCAGCAAGAACATTGTCCGTCAAGATGACAACATGGTGAAAAGACGGATCGGTCAGACGATAAACGGATTCAGGTGGAGGCAAACGCGTTCGCGCCATTGCGTTTACAGAGTACTCTTCTGTTAACCTGAGGGAAAGGCAATGTAGACATTTGGGAATACCGTGAGATGCTAAATGCCAGTACACTAACTCATGATGTTTCGCTGATTGGACTTTACGTTCCATCTGCAACAGCTGAAACATTAAACAGAACAAAAAAGTGTCACATGAATAGAATGAAGCACTAAACTTGACCTAAAAGTAACAAAAGACTTACCATCTTCTTAGTCACGGAAGCAAACGCTCTTATGTCACGGCGTTTTAACGTCATCTCTTTAACAAGATCGTCAAAAGACTCCAATGAGCCTTTCTTTCCTCTTCCATCACCGTCCTGTTCTGTCTCTTCCAATAGCGCTCGTGTTAACTCTTCTCTAATTTTCTGAAAGAGTAACACAGACAGACACGCATTTTCTTGTTACTAAACTAAAAAAGCTGTCATAAGTGTCTTTACATCAACTCATGACACAAAACAACAAAACTGCTTATTACGGAAACAGTGCAATGGAAAAGCTTTTTTTTTAAGTCATGTATTGGAATTATCCGTCTGTCTCGTTTCTCTTTGTGTTCCTCTTTGTTGCTACGTATAAAGGAAAAAGGAAACCAAGTGGCTATGGAGTTTCTCGTGGCAGCTAAACATTCCACGTGTCCTGTTAGCAAACTGAGTGGACACTTGAAACTACTATACATGTAAAAGTGATTGTATACTACGTTTGTTTCTAGCATATACAGTAATCCATGAAAGTTTCCATTTACTAAAAACTAAGCTCTCTCAAGAGTAAGCTTCTAATTCTGTTCTCTAGGGCATGCTATGTTCTTATAAAGTAAAAAAGGTAAATAGATGATAAGAAGAAACCACTTTGTGGGCTCGTTTCCGACAATCACACATGTTGATATCAAATCAAGTTTGTTCCACCGCCAGAAACAACAAATGAATCCATCAAAATCATCCTATTTACTAGGATAAAAAGGAGAAGATGTCTATTACTACTATGAAAGTAAATCATACGCGAAAAAGTCGTTGCATGGATAGAAACTGCAGCAAATCGCAAATCAAAATTTGACCCCTAAGACTAGTATTTCTTCATCTCTCTGTTCCTAGACAGTAGACAATGACATGAAATCCTCACGGTTTTACAATCATGTCCTCACGGTTTTACAAATTTACCCCACCAGGTCCAAGAGGAAGTCAGTCACTCACACGGTCACACCTCTCACTATACGACACCAGCAACACTAACGTAACACAGCTGGAATAGACTTAAAAAAATTCCAATACAATCATATATTTTTTCCCTTTAATAGAAGGCACTATGGCAAGTGTTGATTTTTGTGTGTTCTGTTTCCCATCGATGACGTAAAAGTTAATGATTAAGAGGCTAATTAACATAAGCTGAAATCACCATCACATGAAAATATCTTATTTTTTTAAGTACCTAACTGTATCTTATTATATACAGCTATAACATTTGCCGACATATAAATTACAATTAAGAAAGTGTTTAATATTAGAGTAATACAAAAGGCTTACCAGAGATGTGTCGCCCCCACGGAAAAGTCTCAGTCCCATGCAATCTGCGAATACAATAGTCAAAGGAAAAAAAGTAATTAATTTTTTAATCACACGAAAATTTACACATGAACAAAAAGAGAGGCAAAGATCACAAGCACATTAGCATTCAATACGAAGATTTATGATATTATCCAAAAGTCGAAGAATGTCATTTATTGAATTCACACTTTCCAGGTCCCTGAACAATTACTATATTCATCTCTAATTTTTTAATTGGGAAGAAGTAGAAATAACGAGTAAACGATTAAGTCAAAGTTTGCGGAGTAAAATGGAATCTTAATTTTGAATACTAAGGAAAAAAATATTATTATAGGAGAAAAAAAAGTACCGAGTGGAGAATCGCAAACGGAGGCAGATTCGAGGACGAGAAACGCGAACCTGACGAAGATAAAAGGGAGGACGATGGCGAGCAGCAGAAGCAACAGCAGCAACGAGCGACCAGAGAACCTCCGCGCCGCTAAAGCAGCCGCTGCCGCCGCGCATCCTCCGCCTCCTTTTCCGATTCCGACGCCGGGATTTGATATCGTAACCTTCTTAATCCCCGACGCCGATATGTAAAACTTCATTTACTCGCACTTTTTTCGCAGTGTCTCTCCACTTCCATCAATCCAAACACAGTAAGAACACGACTCTGTTTTCCGATCTCCGATCTCCACACTCTCACTCGTTAAAAAAAAAACTAAACAAGGAGGATCCGGATGAAGAAGAGAAAACCGAAGACGCGATCAGAGCAAAGACGAATCCAAAATTTGGGATAACAATTAATCAATGAAGTAACGAGGCTGGACGAAGAGCGAGGGGGACTTGGGTTTTGATCTGTACGATGGGAATATAAACAACATTCAAAGAAGAATTTCTAAAGAAGCCAAGGGGACATGTAAACCAAGTGAATACAAAATAATTAATTATTTCCGTAAAGGATATATTTCACCAATATTATTCTTATGTACATAGTCACGAGGATCGTGAAATGAAAAAAGAAATTTTATTATTTTTGTAATTCAAGAGAAAATAATAAAGTACTAAAATAAAGCCAAAACCAATGCCGCGTTCGACTCCGCGGGAATTTAGCCCACATATAAAAGTGTTTGTGTATGTATGTACGTATTAATAAGCTTAATCATACACAATTAATACTTTGGGGTAAAGATAACTCGGTAGAGCTAATTATGGGAACGTTACGCGTATATAAGTAAATAAATAGTTACCGACAGGAATGCACAAAATTACAAGAGTGTCCTTCTCTACGTATTTGTATTTTGTGGAGTCACACCGACACATAGCAGAGAGGGTTCGAGTGTGGGAGCCCACATGGAATTAATGGTGCGCTATTCCTGGAGATGACCGTCCATTAATTGCTCTCTCTTATGGCAATGGAGTAGTTAACGATGTTCTTCGGATTTAACTATAAGTCTATAGTGTGATTAATTAATCTCATTAATCAGTGGACCACTTCGACAAACTTATTTGTCTAAACTCTAAAAAAGACCCTAAACAATAAGATTTTGTTTGATTAAATTTTGAAAAGAAGACAAGCACTCATACAACTTGAGTTGAGTGATAATGTGATATCGTGCTATAGTGCCTAGGTGTGAATTGTCAGACATTAATATCACCTAACTTATTTTGTGTTTTTGTTCATGATTTGATTTTTGAGTGGTCGTAGTCTTGTAGATGAACAATGCTTATCAACGAAAATAGTTATGGGAGGTGAGGTTTGGAACGGAAAGACACAACTGATGATGTGTATCAGATAAATTTCTAATGTGATACTTCAGTTACACCAATTTTGTTTTTGTTTTTTACTGTCAACGATCACACCATTTCAAACTCGCAATAGTTTATGGATTTATCATTCTGTTGATGTTTCTCGATGTGGAAAAATGTACATTAAGAAACAGATATGTTTTATAAACCATAGTGTGGTCAGAACGGATAAGAGCCGAAAAGAAATACAAAAACAGTGTAACTGTGTCAGCTATTTTGGATAACATAAATCGTATATGTTCAATGTAGAAGAAGGTGGTACAATTTAATTATTTTGAAGACAACATGCGCTTTGTCGTTTCTGCATGTATTGATAGTGCGATTGCCAAGGTTCCTACACAAGTTGATAGATTTTTAAATCTGATCAATTATCCATGCAATGGAAATTTATAAACGGTTTCAAAACCACATCTCGACTGTAGCTTCGCAACTTCCTTTTTTCATACATTAATCTTTCTAAGAAAGTTGTTCAAACAGTGAAATATTTTCTCACTAATAAAGTAGTAAGTTATAGAGTCAACACTATTATACCTTTTAGACCGTATGCTGTTTATAAAGTGCATTGAAAACGTTTAACGATCGGATGAATTTATCCATGCCCCTACCCTTAGGCTCTTTCTTAGCGATGCTTTACCCCGATGATTTCTCTTCTCAATTTTGGTGCGTATTCGAGGATCATGAAATCATGATCATTCATTCCATTAGTCTTCCAACGATCGAATTAATTGTTATATTCATCATTTTTTTTTTGGTAGTATCGTAAAGGAAACGGTGTATAGTTTAGTTTCCTCTCATTTAAATTAGGTAATTAAGACTTTTAGATTTTAAAATTTCAGATTAAGAAAAGAATAAAAACAACAGTCAATTCTGTCAAGAATGCTTTCATAGCTCAGTTGGTTAGAGCACCCGTTTAGTAAGCGGGAGGTCGTGAGTTCAACTCTCAATGAAAGCATCTTTTTTTGTTTCTTTTCTCTTAAGTTGCAAATATAATCTATCAAACCTTAGAATTTTCGCAAGTTACAGATAAGATCCCAACAATTTTGTTTAAAAAAAAAAAAAAAAAAAACACACCCACTGCTGTATAAATCAGGGTAAGTAATGTCACCTACAATAAATTTGTTGAAGTAGTTTGTTAATTTTTTTACTTGATCTTATGTCAATCGCAAAATAAAAAAAATCAATAATTTTTTACTTTGTTTAAGACGACAAGAGTTGTGAGTTAACAAATGCAAAACGGGACGCTTTTCATTATACATGTTCTGTATTTAATGCAGCAAAAAAATAAAACGGTTGGAGTTAAAAATCTCACTCGCAACAATGTCAACAAATCGTAAGAAAACGGAGCGGTGTTTGAGCTCATCGTTTACAGCGTCGGGAGCTCTCTCGGAAACTGACGTGTCGTCGTTACCACTCGCCGGCCGGAATAAAGTGGAACCCGAAGTTTAACGAAATTCGTCTCTTCTCGTCCGGTAAGTGTTTACCGAATGCTATTTTCGATCTTCCCAATCTCAGTCTCCGAGATTCGTTACCGGGAAATGCTTGATCCATCTGGCTGGTTTAGTGAAATTATCCGGCAATATGATTGATAAACGTCTCTTTGGTGATTGATTATATAATGGAATCGAGTGATTGTTTCAAATACGAGATTTCTGAAATGTATTGATGTTGATTTTTTTTTTTTTTTTGGTGTTTGCAGTGATGTTGAAGCATAGTGATAAAGGGAAATCTCCATACGGATCTCGAAGTCATCGATTAGGAATTACTTTCGTTGTTGGGATCTTATTCGTCTCGGCTCTGTTATTTTGTTTTAGTAGCAAGAATCAGGACTCGGAATTGGAACTACGGAGGCAGATTACGAACAGCGTCAAGCCTGAATTGCAATCTCATTCTCATCCAACAGTCGAGATACAGAACGGGACGAATCTGATATGGAAGATACCGAAATCACCAAAGGCGGTTCTGTTTATAGCTCATGGATGCCATAGGAAAGCTTCAGACTTTTGGGACAAATCGTCAGATTGTCCTCAATGTACCGGTTTACCAGAGGAGAGGCTTCTGATTCGATCTGCTCTAGCTCGGAGATTCGCTGTGTTAACTGTATCCAGTGCTGGAACTTGCTGGTCGTTGGGGAAGGAGAAGCTTGTTGTTGAAAATGTGATCAAATCGTGGGTGAAGAAGCACAAGCACGAAAGGCTTCCTCTCGTGGCGTTAGGTGCTTCATCTGGTGGCTACTTCGTCTCTGCTCTTGCAACGGATTTGAAGTTTAGTAGCATTGTGCTTATGATCGCTGAAGGAGTCTTTGATCAGATTAGTATCAGTAAACAGTATCCTCCGACTCTCTTTGTGCACATGCCTAAAGATGTGTATAGACAACAGAAGATCAGAGAGTTCTTGGAAGGTTTGAGAATGGAAGGTGTTGATGCTGCAGAGATTGAATGCATGGATTTGCCGCTTTCTCCTGGTTTCTTGGCGGATAGGATTCCTGGTCTTGATCGGGGTGTGTCGGCTAAACTGTTCAAGTTGTTTCGAGAGAAGGGGTTTGTTGATGAGAAGGGATACATGAAGCGTGATGGAAGGAGAACACCGTGGAAGCAAGCTCTGAGTGGGTACAAGATATCACTGGAGGAAAGCTTGGTTACTCCTGTTGAAGAAGAGCTGAATCTTGCATTTGCGTATCATGAAATGACGAGCTTGCAGTCTGAACAAATCTTTAGCTGGTTTGAATCTCATATGGGCTAAGTTGCTGACAGATTTTCAAGATCTCACTTTGAAAGCTGTGATATATCTTTTTGACTCCAAAGGAACATGCTTGAATTTTCCGAAAATACAACTAAAACTAATTTTTCCTTAAAAAATACCATTAAAATTTATCTTTCCAAAAATACCACTAATACAGTAATACTAAAACTAATATTTCCAAAAGTACCACTAATACTAAAACTGTTTTTTTTTTCCCAAAAATACCATTAAAACTGACGTTTCCAAAAATACCACAGAGTGATTTTAAAAATAAAGAAAGATAAAAGAAGTCAAAACAGTTCAAAAATTTCAAATCAATAGACGGTCCGGATGACCTGAGGAGTGACTGGGAACACCGTACACTGCGCGTACTGTATAAATCTCAGTGATCGGAACCCTGAGCAAAATTTTAACACACTGTACCTCTTCTTCCCCGGTTTGGCCCGAGAAATCTAGGGAGGGAGAGAGAGAGAGAGGCACTAAAGAGAAAAAATCGAAGAATTCGGGGAAGTAATATCGCGGGAAAATGTCTTTGACACGCGTGAACATGTCCGAGGATGTCTGGTTGACTTGCCTTACTCACGCATTGTCCACTGAGACCGAAGAAATCATGGGACTCCTCCTCGGCGACATCGAGGTTCCAACTCTTTAATTTTCGAATCCGGAATGCCCTTTTGCCTCTTGTTTCCCTTTACCAGTCTCGTTTCATTGGATATTTTGAGAATTGGGTCCAAATTACTCTGTGTTTGTTTGTCATTCGTTATTGTGATTAGTACTCGAAAAACGGAAGTGCGACAGCTGTGATATGGGGAGCATCGCCTCAGTCACGGTCTGATCGGCAGAAGGACCGAGTAGAAACCAATCCTGAACAGTTGGCTGCTGCTTCAGCTAAGGCTGATATATCCTTTTCCTTCAAATTAAAAATGTTGCTAAACTCGTTTTCTATTGATTTGATCAGAAAAGGAAAGTAAAGCAATGTTCTTTCTTTGTGTATATTACTATTAGATACGTTGATTTGGTTAAAACTTAGAAACAAAAAGAGTGTTTTTTTTCCTTGACAAACAATGGCACAGAATGACCATATCAACGGGCAGAACAACGAGGGTGATAGGATGGTACCACTCCCATCCTCATATCACTGTACTTCCTTCCCATGTTGGTATGTATAACAATACGATCAAGTATCAATGTATCATCATTGCTACTTTCTTTCTTTTAGGATTGACTAGCATAGCTATGTCTTGCTTTTGCTGCAGATGTTCGGACACAAGCAATGTATCAGCTTTTAGATACTGGGTTTATTGGCCTCATATTTTCTTGTTTCAGTGAAGATGCAAGCAAGGTTAGTCTTGTATCTATAATCATTTTATTGGAAAAAAAAGGAAACTTTGCAAGAAAAGTTCTTCTCACTTGTTGGATGAATTGGATGTATAGGTTGGAAGAATCCAAGTTATCGCGTTCCAGTCCTCTGATGGAAAGCCCAATACTCCTCCTAAACCATTGAGCCTGCGACTTGCAAATAAAGATTCTGTCGTCGATTTAGAATCCTCATTAAGTTCTTCAGACTCGATATTCCAGAGTTCCTCTTCTGCTCGGGGAGACAATCCTGAGCAAGACACTGCTACAGTTCTGCATCTAAGGTCTGAAGCTCTATCTCTCTCTATACTGTTTCACTCGAGTTTAATGAAAGTTTCAAATTTTTTATTCATAGATATATATATATATACACATTGATGTTTGAGCCTTGTATGTGTGTTAGGGTGGAGGACGAGTTTCAGATTTTGGGGATTTCTTTGTAAACAATGCTGAAGCCAACACCATGGGGAGAGATGTGACAAGTGGAAGCTACAGCTCAGGCAATCTCAGCAGCTCAGTTGTGGGAATTGATCCAATGGACATGTCTGAAAGCATGCAAGAGGCTATGCTTCGTTCAAATATGGAAACCAGGTACTTGTTCTCAGCATCCGCATTTGGGGCTTATGAACAACATTGCTCCATTCACTAATCCAAAACTTGTTTAACGTGCAGCGGTGTAGGGTATGTTAGAAAAGAAGTCCCGCTCCATGTTTTGCCGACTTCAACCCTTGTTCAGCTCAATTCACCTTTAGCATCTTTTAAGGATCTGCAAAGAGTACTCTACGAGGAGGAACGAGCAGCGTACCACCAATCTCTCCTGCAAAACACCAGGTTTTCGACTCTCTCAAGTCTTTTTATACATCATAGAGAGTTGGTGCAAAAAGCTCATTATGTTTCTTCTTTAGAGCCGGGAAAGTACATCCCCTTGCCTTCATTCACAACACATCGTCATATCAGGCTTCAATGTGCAAGCTGATTGAATACTGGTTAGTTACAAACATTTGAACACACGAGGTTTTGTCATTTGTTGCGATTTTACATACCTAGGCTTCATTTTCTTTGTTTTTTGGCAGCTTGAGTCCCGCCATTAACGCACTTCAAGATAGGGTAAGGGAAAACAAGATCCGGGTATGATTCTCCTCATAACCACGCTCACTCTGTCATGGATATTGTGTTTCTGTTTGGTTTTGAAACCTATTGTATCGTGTGTTGAGCAGTTAGCAATGCTGATGGATGAAGCCGACGCTCTGGACGCTCAGAAACTTAAAGGAGCAGAGACGAGCGGAGCACCATCTCGTCTGGTTCACGGCTCTGGCAGCCGAAGCAGAAAAAGATCCTCCTAGTACCACTGATAGTAAAATTGATATTTCCAAAAATGCCACTACCATTACAACTGATATTTCCAAAACTACCACAAACTGAATTTTCCAAAAACACCACTAAAACTGATATTTCCAAAATTACCACTAATACGAAAACTGAATTATCCAAAAATACCACTAAAATTCGTTTGACAATTCGAAGTTATAATACGGACTATCTAAAGCAACATATTTGAATTGCTTTACTTCATTCGTTTGACAAAATGTGGTTAAACCTGAAGAGAAAATGAAGAGCAAAAACTGATCTTCATGCATTTGGCAAAACCCAAAAAGTCAAAATTTGCATTACACACACAAAAAAAGAGAGGGAACAAAGTTGTAGCTTTAGCAAACTGAGATTCCTTCTTACAAATCTGATGGATCCTTAACAAACTGAGTTACATCAGATACCAAACTATGATGCACAGGCTTCAAACCTTTTCTCAACCAACGTTTCAACAAGGCCAGCTCTAATCTTCTCACCTGCAATCAAGTAAAACAACTCCATTTAGCTATACTACACACACGTTTCAGGCAATTCGAAGTTCTAAATATCCATTCTGTGAATCGAAGTGTAGTGTAAAGCAAGGGGAGACAAAAACGAACCTGTCTAACAATGAAAGGCTCCTCAGCTCGACTCAAAGGCTCGGTTAATACGGTTAAAAATCCATTTCTGTTCCCGTAAACGATATCTGTGAAGGGTCGATCACCCACCTGCCCCAAAACACACAACACATAAACATCTCATCTACCAAGAATCAAATTCCAGTTTCACCCCTAAACATTTCATTATAACTAAGTTACCATGATTAGCTCCGAAGATGTGCAACCAAAGTGTTTCTCAACTTCTTCAGCCGTTCCTGCAGGCTTCTTTACTCCTATAATCATGAATCAAAAACAGCCTTTATCAGTTACAATGCTCTAAACCAAGAGAATAAAACAGAGTCATTAGTAGATAGATCAAGGAACTTACTGTGTCTCAACACTCTAATCCCTATTTCAGCTTCCAATGCTTTAGCTTTCGAATCATCATGATCATATTCCGTAAGCCCTAGTTTTTCACCAAAAAGTTAGCTTCTTCAATCAACCAGAAAATTACAACCAACCAAACACAGAAAAACTCAAACTTTATCCAAAATTTACCAGCGGAATTGCTAAACACGGCGATGTCATGGCCAAAAACGGCTTTACACTGCTCAATCGAAGCCCGGAGTGGTGGCCAAATCGCTAGAGAATAAGGAGCCGTGAGGGTATTATCTTTATCAAACACTACACCTTTGAAGCCCTTTCTCTTCAGCTCTCCCCAGTCAATGTACCGCAAATCCTTCACAGAAACATGCGGGATAACCAAATTCCGATCTCTAACAACTACAGAAACCGAAGAAACGATACCCTCTACGTTGATTCGTTGCCCAATAGCCGCTTTCAGATCTGCCCACCACATGTTCGACGAAATTGCCAAGCCGGTGTTGCCTTCTACTTTCGGAAGCACCAATTCGCGCGGCTCTTCGTCAATTCGTTCGGAGATCCGGTTAGAGAATCCTGGATCGTCGGTCGGGGAACTGAATTGGTAAAGAAGAAACGAATCCTCGAAAGGAGGTCGGCGAAGATTCTGCTTCTGCCTTCGATTGTTTGTCGTCGTTTGCAGAGAAGAGGAAGAAGACGAAGGAGAAGGAGGAGAACAAATGGGTTTGGTGGAGCAAGAGATGAAGTTAGGGTTTCGTTTGCTACGGGAAGGAGGAGGAAGAAGGAAACTTTTGGGGATTGGGTAGTAGAAAGTAGTGGAGGCAGCCATCGATGGGGTCTGCATCTCAGCCTTCTTTATAATATTCTTTTACTCTTTATTGACCAACAACATCAAAAATAAAATTGTAGCTGTAAGTTGTTTACCGGAAACACGAAGAAATTCCAGATTTCTTGGAGGCTGTTTTAGAAATTTAGACGACTCTTTTTGTTCCACACATTTTGGTTTTCCAAAAATAAAATGACAGTGGTTAAATTGCTAATTTACCATATCCATTGTTTGTCCATATGAAACCAAATTGTATTTGTTTTGCTCATGTTGTTCCTCTTGTCTTAAAATTGTCGTCTTCTCAACACATTTTGTGGCATCTATCTATATACAAACAATCTTCACTAATCTGAAACAAACGACCAAGAGATAGTACTTTCCAATTTCCATTAGCTTACAAGCAATGATGGTACTATTCATGGGCTTAGGGTAAAGAAGCACTAGTCAAGCAAATCTATTAGAAACATGTTTCTCTTTGAAATCCAGTTAAATCCAAGGAAATTCATTGTGGCACAACAAAAAGCTCAAGATTTCCCAATCAGCAAAAACATGACAACCGACAATAAAAAACATCACAAACACAAATCCAAACCCAAAACAAATCTCTAGCCAACCTTGTTCTCCGGAAATCAATCTCAAGAACTTTGGCCATCACTTATTCCTCAGGCTACATATTCATCAGAATCACTTTAGCTTGGCATAGCAGACGAACGCAGTCGCTGCAACCAAACCAGCAGCAGCCACTGGCCACAGTTTTACCTCCTTGGAAACCTTTGTGTTTGTGAATCTGACTGCATCACTAGGGCTCATAGATCTCTCATTCAACGCAACCATCGTCTCCTTCACTTCCTCAACCTTCTTCAGCACCTCCTTCTTCTTCAACTCCATCTGCTTCTCTCTTTTCCCAGCTTCACTCAGAGCTTCCTCTGTGCACTTCTTCTCAGACTTACACTTCTCCAATTCCTCACCGTTCTTCACCAATTCCAGATTCAAAACACCAACTTTCTTCTGCAATTCCTTTACCTCCCTCTCTTTCTCATCAGCTTTCTCCCTCAACTCCTCTTCTAGTCTAAGCTTCTTGCTCTTCTCCTCCGACTCCCTCACTTCCAAAACCCCAATCTTCCTTTCCAAATCCCTAACCCTCTTCTCAGTCTCAGCTCTCTCTTTCCTTAATCCCTCAGCTTCCTTCTCACACCCTTCCAGCTTCTCCCCTTTCTCCGCAACCGCTTTCTTCAGCTCCGTCACTTCCTCCGCCGTCTTATCCAATCCCGTCAAGGAATTGTTCAGATCGTCCTGAAGATTCGACACCTCCGTTTCAAGCTCCACGGCTCTCGTCGAAATAGATTCCAGAGCCTTCTTCTCTTCCTCGTACTCCTCGATCTCTTTCTCCATTTCCTCGAATCTCTGATTCATCTCCGCTTCTACACCTTTCATCTCTTCGATTTCTCCAATCAGCTTCTCTAACCTCTCCTTCGTCTCATGATTCTCCTTCGTTAGCTCCTGATTCCTCTTCTCCATTTCCTTAACTTTTCTTTCCAGTCCCTGATCAGCCATTGACAATGATTCTGGAGAAAATTTCAACACAGAGATTCAGACGCAATAACATGAATTACTCAACGGAAATTTTCACAAATGAAGAAATCAATTTCACAGGTATGCATTAGAGAATCAGTCTCTCTGACTTTTTCTCTCGGCAGCGATAAAGACATTTCCCTTATCGGGAAGGATAAAGAAAAACACTGGTACCACTAATAAAGATAGGAAATTTTCTTGAGATTTACCTTCCGATTATTCTGGGAAATTAAGAAAACGACGAAATTTTCCGGGGAGGAATCGGATTTGGTTTTCTAGGGTTTATGATTTATAGTGACGACAACAAATGGGCGTTGAGAAATTGGGCGGTTCTGAAATCTATAATCAGACATCAATACATAAAACTAGTCCACTTGGCAACTTCGTTTTAGTGATATCTGGTTAAATGGGCCTTTGGGTCATTAGAGGTAAGTTCCATAAGGCCCAACTTTACTAGAAATGCTTACAAACCTTTTCTATTTCATTTACCATTTTTTGCTCCTTGATTGATGAGCTAATGTGTCTCCTTGACAATATACATGGGTTATACATGTAACTGAAACTGATTATAAGAAGCCGGAACTTATATTATTTCGTATTTTGAATGAAAATGTGATCTTTTTCCGTTTTTTGCATCCACTATCTTATTAAATAAAGTTAGGTATATAATAATTATAATTCATATTATCATGACATCAATTCCACCTTCATATTAACATGACATCAATTCCACCGCCGTTACAAAATCATCAATCTGTTGAAATTCACAGTCTTTAAGATCCAACCATACTACATTGTTGAAAATGACTGTCTCTGAAATCCAACCATCCTACATTGTTCAAAAACGGAGCACGTAAAAAGCAGATCCAATATTCAAAAGAGTGGTCGATGCGAGTAAACATCTAATTCGCAGCAATTAAGTTCTCGGATCTCGAAATCTAATGATTTTGTAAAGGAGGATTTACTCGGAATCTCAATGTTAGAGGATATTTGCAATCAAACAATTAAGCTACACCAAAGGAAATTGAAGGACAAGAGTTGTATAGCCATTATATATGCTGTCTCTAATGCTAATGTTTAGGAAAAAATGTCATAGAATTTAGTGTTATTTTTTTCTGATTTTCTTGTTTGCTTATCTATTATCTCAAGAAATCACAAAAATAACCTTGTTTTCCTAAACATTCAAAACATTTTGCGATATCTTTGTGTTCAGGAAAAAAAGATTTCAGTTTTGATTCTAATGATTTTGTTTATATTTTTTCTTAAATGATTTCAATTTTTTTAAATAAACTGGGCGTATACGCGTAGCCGGGTCTTATCTAGTAAAAAATAAAACACATAAAATTAAGAAAAACTAAATTATGAACCCAAACTAAGAGCCAGTAATAATAAAAAAAAAAGGTAAAAAAAAAAAAAAGCATAGTGAGAGTTTTTGTTGTTGTTGTTTTTTTTTAACGATTTGAGAGAATTCCAAATTGTTTGTTCAATCTTCAACCCCCAAACTTCATATCGTCTTTCTCACTACGCTCAAGAAATGAGGTAAGAACTTTAATGGCATTGATCTGACATTGGAGAGCCAAGATGTAACTAGCCGTCTCTTCGAACAGCGCGTCGACTC